CTCCTCTTTGGTAAAATCTTCCTTCTTTCCTTGCTTTCCTGTATTTATGACACATGTTCAACTGAAAATTGCAAGATAAACATATACAACATACACATTATTATGGGAAAACTGATTTTATACATTCTAAGAAAATACATAATTGCAAAATAAGGACACAGAAGTAGTCAAGGAATAATGCCTAGGGAATGTTTTGTAAAGAGGATTTTGAAGCAAGGTAGGTACATGGATTGAAAAAGAGTAAAGCAAAAAAATTTTAAATAGGTAGAATGAGTGTAACAGATGGAGGTGCGAACAACAGTGATCATTACGGAAGGTATATCGTTTGCTAAACAGGACTGAGGGATGAGTGTTGCAGAGTGGAGAGAAATGCTGAATGTGGAGCAGTTTGCAAAAGGCCTTAACTGTTAGGAAAATGTGGCAAACTGGTTTCTAGGCCAAGCATATAATGTAAGCCTTTTGAATGATTCTTGTGCATTGTCAACAGAGCCTGACCCTGTATTTCACATATTTTCTAGATATCTAAGAAGCAATACAAAATAACAGCCATTTGAATGTTGCTCTGAGGCTTAGGCCACAAAATTCCAGGGAAGGAACTGATATGTGGAACAATTTCAAGGACCTTAACACAATTTCCAAAGTAAGATTCACTAAATTTACTGTAATTTGTTAAAACCACTGTTCCATATTTACAAGTCTAAGTGAACCTCAAATTAAACAATTGTAAGGAAATGGTGATGTTTTAGCTCTTGAAACTTTCCAAAGCCAGTGAATAAAACAACTGGAAATTCAAGTTTGGGCCAAAGTTTAAAGCCTTTTGTTTGAGACCCAATCTCTCCTTGCAGCAATAGCTGCAAAAGTTGTGATTACCAGTAATGTTCTTAAATACTGCCACCAACTGGTTTTTTAGAAACGCTGTGCAAGTTAAATGAGTGCTTCCAACATTTTCTGTTTCAGTCTGACCGTATTCATCTCTATTCATCCCATGAAATCATTCTTAACTAGAGACAAAAGCAACTGGAAAATATAGAAGTAGTGCTAAAAAGTTGTATTTTTCTGTCAATTTAGTATTTTTATTGCTTTTCATAAGTTTAGAATTGTTGATGTTTTGCTTATCTTCTCATTAGACATCAGAGTTACTAAGAGGATAAGTTTTAGACTGAGACATACAGCTCAACCAGGACTCCACCGCTTGCTAACTTTGTAGCTTGAGGTAAATTGCTTAAAACTTCTAAACCTCAGCTAACTCCTCTATGAACTGGGACACTCTGAAGATTAGCGTTACTAAATGTAAAACCTTAGTACTTAGCATGCATTCAATAAATAACAGTTGTTTATGGAAACTATGCTCATAAATATAAGGACAATAGTTTGGAGATTTAAAACAGCTCTTATTGAGGAAGGCATTTGGGATCGTAATCCAAGTTTTTTTTTTTTTTTTTTTTTTTTTGTGGTGGTCCAGCTTCTGTAAGGCCAATGTACAAAGTCTGATTCTCCCATTACAGGAACCTTGGTCAGGGAGCATCAGGGAAAAAGAATTGAAGAGATAGTTATGAAGCAGTTATGATGTATAAAAAGCACGTTGCTAGTACTCTTCGAGAACCAAGCATTGACATCTTTTCTAGGAGCCACATACCCAGGAAACATGCTCAGGGCAAAATGAGGATTTTCTTTCACTCCATGCCCTGAGAACACTCAACTTCCAACATGAGGGAAAATTGTATTTTATGTTTCCTGCGTATGCAAAAAACTGATTAGGTGATATCTTTAAACACCAACTCCTATCCCCCTCCTCAGTCTCGATGACAAAAAAACAAATAAGTCAGGCAGGGCATGGTCAGTGGCCAATGCCTATAATCCCAGCACTTTGGGAGGCCAAGGTGGGCAGATCACTTGAGGTCAGGAGTTCAAGACCAACCTGGCCTCCAAGGTGAAACCTGTCTCTACTAAAATACAAAAATTAGCCAGGTGTGGTGGCAGGTGCCCATAATCCCAGCTACTTGGGAGACTGAGGCAGGAGAATCCCTTGAATTGGCAAAGTGGAGGTTGTAGTGAGCTGAGCCACTGTGTTCTAGCCTGGATGAGAGAGTGAGACTTCATCTCAAAAACCAAAAATAATAAGTAAATATAAATGTTTGTTCATATTTCTTATAGATGGCCTTTTCAGTTTCTGCAAGGTAATATTTACTTTATTAACAAAGTGAATGTCCTTTAAGCCTTTTGGTTTCATTTTTATAAGGTAGTTGCCTTCAAGGTTTTGTCAGTTTTGCACAATCTAGACCTTATGCCACCTATTGTCAATTGACCAAGGGCCTGATTTGTGAAGATCTATCTGACTCAGGTATAGGCAGAAAAATAAGGCCAAAGCTGAGAGGAGAAAAAAAATCACAATGCGGCCGGGCGCGGTGGCTCGCGCCTATAATCCCAGCACTTTGGGAGGCCAAGGTGGGTGGATCATGAGGTCAAGAGATCGAGACCATCCTGGTCAACAAGGTGAAACCCCGTCTCTACTAAAAATACAAAAATTAGCTGGGCACGGTGGCGCGCGCCTGTAGTCCTAGCTACTCGGGAGGCTGAGGCAGGAGAATTGCTTGAACCCAGAAGGTGGGGGTTGCGGTGAGCCGAGATCGTGCCATTGAGCTCCAGTCTGAGTAACAACAGCGAAACTCCGTCTCAAAAAAAAAAGAAAAAAAAAAATCACAATGCAGCATGAAAGTGCTGGGGCGTTTGAGGAACCAAAGTCTTTGTTGGCACATTTGCTTTAATACCTCGCTGAGATATTCTGCACCCAGATATGTTCTGGGAAGCCCAGGAGTATTTGACTAGCCTGACCCAGGCTTGGTCATCAATTTGGGATGAAAAGTATCTACTCGTAATCTGATCATTTAATGGTTCTTGGATATTGAATCTTTTTTGTTAAGTGGGGCTGTTTTTTCCTAAGTTTCTTTAATTTTGATACTGGTTTTTACAGACAAAAGCTTCTCATTTTCTAGGAGCTAACTGACTTTTAATGGATTAATTTATATTTATGGAATAAAACAGACAATTGAATTTATTCTTTGATGCTGTCATTGTTTTCATAATATAAATTGCCTTCCAACCTAGACTGCCAGTCTTGCCAACCTGATGACAATCTTGACTCATCTATCTCAGAACGGAAGTGACTACAGTAGTGGTGATAAAGCAGGTGGAAGTTTCATCTAGCTCTTTTGTCCTGTTTAGAGTACTCAATTTTTGAAGGTTTTGGTTATTTTCATTGCCATAGATCATAAATTCTGTGAAGTAAAGAGTTCTGGCCATTAGAAAACATTGTCTTACAGCCTTAGTTACTGTATGTTAATTTCTTATAGATACAGTCAACTTTAAAATCTAGTTCACAGGGTTTGGGATTGTTATGGAAGGCAGCTAAGAAAGGTGAGCCTAGAAAAATCCTTGTTCTGGCCTCTCAGCAAATACCTCTGGACAACTGTGGGTCAAGATAGCCAAGGGGAGACCTATGTTAATTCTAGCTAAATAATCATAAGCTTGCTTGGCTCACAGTGCACTGAAGTTTATACACCTAACTAAACTATATTATTGGTGCAGTTAATTAGAAGTCAAGTGGCAACAGGAGGCCTAAAGTAACGACCATCTGAGAGCGCAGTAACACCGGGGGACACCTCGGGGTGCCTGCAGAGCAGAGAATACTGCCCTGGTCCCACAAATGCCTTCTCAGTGTGGAGACTGCATGAGGGTTTCGTGAAGAGGGCTTATGCAAAGATCTCTGAGAAGGGAGGCAACCTCTGGTCACAAGATCCGGGAGGGTCTTTGCAGATGGGAGCTGGCAAGAAAGAGAAAAGCCTTGCAGGGCAGAGATCATGTAACGCCTCAGGCTCTACCTAGGTTCTTGGAATATGGAGTGATTTTAATTGCTCTATGTCCTCAATGCTCAGGAGATAAAAGCCCCTTGATGCACTGGGTGTGGTCGGACCCATGGCTCCTCATCACTATACTTCTGATGTAGCAGCACCCTGATAACAATTGGTGATAAACTAGAGCACTAGTTTAGCATGTCTTAGAAGGATCTCAAGTGCTCTCCCCTAGGCTTGTCTTACCTAACCCCTTCATCCTCCCCTTCTATGTCCGTAAGCTCAATGAGATTATGTACGTAATAAAAGTGTTTGGAGCCCAGGGCTCAGGGCCAACGGGGCTCCCAGGCTTGTGTTGGTCCCCTGAACCCATGCTGTAAATTCTACTCTTACGTCTCTTTATTTCCTTTTCTCAATCCCTTGTCACTGCTGGGACTAAGGGCACCCACGTACAGGGGTTGGGGCAGGTACCCAACAGAGAACTGATTTACTGATAGAGAAAGAAGGGCCACCCTATTTGTCCTCAGAATCCGTTCCTCTTTTGCGCATTAGGGTATTCTCTGTGTCTAGTACAGGACTTGGAAAACAGTGTATGTTCAAATAATGTGTTCATTTGAATAAATGAGATGAATGGTACTAACAGCCCTCTGTCTTTTTAAAAGCAGGAAAATGGTGACCATCATTGATTTCTGAGTCTCCAGATCTTATCACTCTAAAGTTCTCTGACCTATTTCCAGCAGAGAAATGATTTTCTTGCTCATGATTTTTGGGGAATGCTCTCTTCTTGCCATGCCAGGCATATTCCTCTTCCCAGTCAGTCAGAGATCACATGTAGAGCTATTCTGGGATTTTGAAACCATCAGCCCTTGCCAAGGTGTGTGGAACTGCTGGAAAATTATGTAACTCTGCGTGCATCCACCTTTCTGTTGCAATGTGCCCTTTGTCTCACTCTCTTTAAGGACAGATCTTTATGGCTGGACCTGAACACAATTTGTTTTGTGTTTCTATAAATAAATCTTTGGTGATTAAACAACCTCTCTACTTTGCAGTCACTCTCTCTTTTTTTTTCTTTTGCTTTCTTTTTTTTTTTTTTTTTTTTTGAGACAGAGTCTCACTGTCTCCCAGGCTGGAGTGCTGCGGCATGATCTCGGCTTACTGCAACCTCCACCTCCTGGGTTCAAGCAATTCTCTGCCTCAGCCTCCTGAGTAGCTGGGACTACAGGCACACACCACCACACCTGGCTAATTTTTGTATATTTAGCAGAGATGGGGTTTCACCATCATAGCCAGGCTCACCTTGAACTCCTCACCTTGTGTTCCACCTGCCTCGCTTCCCAAAGTGCTGGGTTTACAGGTATGAGCAACCGCGCCCAGCCCATTCTCTTCTCTGTTTCCTATTCTTATATATATATATATATTTTGTTTTGTTGTTCCTTTGTACTCACTGAAGTTCTCTTGGTTCTTTACTCTTAAGTAACTCAGAAGTCCCCCCTTTTTAATCTCTGTTTCTAAAGCCAGACTCTCCTTCAGTCTACTTCAGATCAGTTGCCTTGCAATAAGAACCATCAAGGCAGACAGTGCCTTTAGAAATTGTATGGCTAGCCATTTCATTCCATTCTTATTTCCACATCAAATTAAACAAGAGACTACTATTATTCCCCTATCACCCTGGTGCACCTTAGCTCAAAGGCATCTCAGAACCTACGTTTGCTAAAAATTCAAAACTGAGGCTTGCTAATGCTGGTGTCTGGGGTCACTCAGAAGATGCAAAACCCAGTCAGTCAGGGTGGAACTGAGGAGATTTTTCTCCATTAAAGCCCACCCAGGTGGTCAAATGCAGATTTAGATTGGCTTTGGAGTGGAAGATCTTCTGTTTTTCCTTTTTTCCGGCAGGTGAGTTGTTGCACACTCCTTAGTGAATTCCGACTTCCATGGCCACCATCCTGCTTGGAGTGGATGATCTTCACCGAATGGAGTGACTTAACAAGTTAAAGGTATTAGAATAAATTGATAAAGGGCAAATAAAAAATTACTGCTCCCTTTCTCTTCTTGTGTCTATGTTTGATCTCTTTCAAAATTTTTGGAAAATTCTGTTATTATTTCTTCACCCTATTTCACTAAACAAAGAGCTTGGCATATTCACAGAACAGAAAGGCTGTCAGAGTCACTGGTACAAAATGAGCAAGGGAAGAGTGGTGAGCTGAGATTGGAAGGTAAGTATAGACCAGGTTATGCAGGTCCTTGTAGGCTCATAGTAAAGATTTTACAGTTATTTGTCCTTTTTATTATGGAAATTTTCAAATGTATACCAAAATGGAGTTCTATAACTATTTCCAATATATACATCCCCAGTTTCAGTTACCTTTTCCCTTTTTGCCTTTATTTACTCTCCTCTAACACTAGGTCATTTAATAGCAAAATAAAGACACAGTTTTATTTGTAAATATATCAGTATCGTTGAAAGCCAGGAATTCTTTTTTTTTTTCTTTTTGAGACGGAATCGCACTCTGTTGTCCGGGCTGGAGTGAAGTGGCGCCATCTTCTGGCTCACTGTAAACCCCACCTCCCACGTTCAAGCGAGTCCCCTGCCTCGGCCTTCCAAGTAGCTGGGATTATAGGTGTACACCACCACACCCGACTAATTTTTGCATTTTCAGTAGAGATGGGATTTCATCATGTTGCCCAGGCTGGTCTTGAGCTCCTGTGCTCAAGTCCTCTGCCTCCTTTGGCCTCGCAAAGTGCTGGAATTACAGGTGTGAGCCCCTGCTCCTGGCCAGGAATTCTTAACATAACCACAATTCCATTATTACCCTTAGCATTAATATTGTTAAAATATTAATAATAATTTCAAAATATCACAAAGTATTGTCAGTGTTCAAATTTCCCCATTGTCTCATAATTTATTTTCAGTGTGTTTTAGTTTTGGATCACATTTGAAATAAGCTTCATGCAACATTGCCCCCGGTTTACTATGTCTCTCACATATTTTTTAATCCATTGGGCTTCTCTGCATCACTTTTTCCCCTCTCTTGCAATTGATTTGTATTAGGAACTGAATTTTGCTGATTATATTTCTATGGTGTCATTTTATATAGTTCTATAATTTCAGTAAATTGGTAGTTAGATTTAGAGTCTTGAGATTTGGAATAATGATAATAATTATTATTTTGTAAAGTATACTTGATAGATTTTTTTATTCTTCCATAGAAAGGTATGTCTTGTTTGGTTAGTTTTTTTTGGGGGGGGTTAGAAGCTCTTTTTAATTATTATTAAATCCATTAATTCATTACAGTTTACAAAAGAATAACATTAGAATATTGTATTATTTCTTTCTGTTTCATTAGCTGAAATATTTCTATACAGAGAAACCCATCCTCATTGATAATTTAGTTTCCTTAAAGTATAATTTATAAAGGAAAAGCAGGATAAAATTTGATTGTTTTCCCCTGTTTTACTTATTTTCAAAATAATGACTTTGTTGCATGTTACCCTCCAAAGCTAACCAATGAGTTTGCTTGTTTTTGAATATTATTATAAACCATAGGTTTAATACAGGGAATGTGATTGTATTTACTCTTCTTATTGATGCTCTAATTGTCTAACTTTGGGATAGTGGGATACTCTTCAGATTGGCTAATGAGTCCTTTGGGCATGATCTTGTCATTCCTTCTTTTCTGATTTAACAAGATAGTTCAAGTTTGTTTTGTAAATTTCTTGCTCCAGATTTGGAATCTGTCCTTCTCCGGGAACCTCACTTTCTATGTAGTGGAGAATAATCTTTAGGGGCTACAACCTGGGCATTAAAGTACTCATTACCACTAGGTTGGTCATTAGTTCTAGGCCTTTGCTGAGGAAAGAGTTAAGGAACCCGTGAAATAATTTGTGCTTTAAGATAAAATTCATCATGGGTTCATACTGTTATTTTCAATTAATATTCTGGAAAACAGAACTTTAATTTCACCTAATTAATCTTATGTTTGTAACTACTTTCTTTCATGCTGAAATTCCTATTTATTAATGACACAAACATATTCATTTACTTTATCCTACATGACACACTCGATGGTCTTAGAATGACAATATTGCCACTACCACCAATAATAAGAAGAGAACAGTTAAAGTGTTTTTTCAAAGGTTTTATTTGTTTTTAGAGTATTTGTCATTAAGCATGCTCAGAAAGTATTACTGTGTTTGCGAATTACTTGTACCTATTCATATAACTAATATAGAATATTTATGAAGGTATAAAACATTTAAAGCATTCACTATAGTTCCCAATTCAAATTTATAAAAGTATTTAATGAAAACCAGCTTCTCTCACTCTTTTTTCTACTCCGTATTCTCTCTTAGACTATTTGTAAGTGGTTAAAAAATTTTGTGGTTTATTATTCCCTTGATTCTTAAAATATAACTAGACATGAACAAATATTCTCTTTTTAGCTAATGGTACCATATTGTACAAGTTTTTCCTACTTTGTTTTTACTCCATAATATATCCTGCATAATTAGTAGATTTATAGAGAGATTTCTTACTCCTTTTTCAGATCTTCAGAGTATTCCACTGCGTAAGGATACATTATTTAATCAATTTAGTCTTCTACATTTGACTTCTAGTATTTTGATATTATAAATAATGATTCAGTGCGGAATCCTGGAGAAGACCTAAGATGGTTGACTAGATGCAGCCAGGAAGAACACCTCCCATGGAGGGACTACCAGCACACTCTGAGCAGATCTTTGAAAGGAAGACTGTGAGAATGGAAGGAGGGAGGATGCAGACCCTGGGCTGAAGAGGGAGGAAGCTGGGAACCTTGCCCAGGGCAGTCAAGCTCCTGGCCCTCAGCAGTTCCTGGGGGAAGAGATAAGTTAAATAGGTAAGGAGTGGCTCACTCTTGCCATGGACCTCTGGACTCCTAGCTTCAGGAGACTCTATGACCCTCCACTAAAACTTGAGCTGATGGGAGAGCTATTTGGAGAAGTGGCAGGAACAGTACTCCAGCTTGTGCAGAATCCAGGGGATTTGGCATAGGAATAGAGTCAGTGGAGCACGACTGGGATCACTCATCTTCAAAGCCCACTATACTCCCTTAGGTGGCTTTGGCCTCTGTTGCCTGTCATACCTGGACAGAATGGCATGTCTTGCCCATGGGATGGGACAAGTCTGATCTGTACACCCCCTTGCCTGCCAGTCTTTCCCAGCATGCCTGCCTGGCTGTGCCCATTTGTAGCACAGCCTTGGATGCCCAACTAGGGTTCTTTCTGGTGCAGATGATGTAGAGATGGGGTTTCACCATGTTGCCCTGGCTAGTGTTGAGCTCCTTGACTGGCAGACCCCCACCTAACAATCAGGAAGCTTCAGCAGATGGACCCTGCTGGTGTGCACCCACTCACAACCTCCCCCCTCTCCTTTGCCAACGTGCACTTGCACACAGACTTCACTGCTCAGTTGCCACTGGCATGTGTGTGTGGACCTCACTGCTGCTGCCCCGCCCCCTCTGGCATGTGTGGACCCTGCCTCATTGCAGTCACCTGTGTGAGCACACCAGAATGGATCTATCACCCCACCCCTGTGAGCACATGACATGTGTACCCCATCAGGCTGCTGCTGCTGGCAATGCATGCATACTCTGCTGCCACCACCCTGATGGTGTGCTTTTGCCTTATCAGAGTGTGGTCAGCAGACCAGAGCACTTCAGACCCTCTTGCATCGCAGGTGTTTAACCTCAAGTGGACAGAGAACAAAGTTGTGGGCCTGGTACCAGCCCTCCAAAGTTAGAACATGCAGCCTATAATTGCTGAGCTGAGTGTTGGCCACCTGAGATCATTCAGAAATGAAGCCAGCTGACTGAACCCAACTTATACCACAGTCAAAACTTCAAGGTCTTCAAAGAATCTAAAAGCAAAAAGCTCCATCCAAAGTTCAGCAACTGCAAAGGTTAAAGGAACATCAGCCCACATAGATGAGAAAGAACCAGCACAAGAACTCTGGCAACTCAAAAAGCCACAGAATCTTCCTATTTTCAAATGATGAAACTGGCTTCCCAGCAATGGTTCTCAACCAGGTTGCCATGGCTGAAATGACGGACATAGAACTAATAATCTGGAGAGCAATGAAGGTCATTGAGAGTCAGGAAAAAGTTGAAACCCAACCCAAGAAACCTAAGAAATCCAATAAAACAACGGAAGAACTGAAAGATGAAATAGCTATTCTAAGAAAGAAACAAACTGATCTGATAGAACTGAGAAACTCACTATAAGAATGTCAAAATCCAATCAGAAGTATTAGCAACAGAATAGACCAAGCCCAGGAAAATATCTTAGAGCTTGAAGACTGTTTCTTCTAATCAACTTAGTCAGACAAAAATAAAGGAAAAAGAACAAAAAATAATAAACAAAACCTCCAAGAAATATGGGATTATGTAAACAGACCAAGGCTATGACTCATTGGTGTCCTTGAAAGAGAGGGAGAGAGTGCAAACAACTTGGAGAACATATTTGAAAACATTGTCCACAACATTTCCACAAAATGTCCTCAACCTCACTAGAGGGGTTGACATTCAAATTCAGGAAATTCAGAGAACCCCTGTGAGATACTATAAAAGATGACCATCTCCAACACACATAATCATTAGATTCTCCAAGGTCAATGCAAGAGAAAAAATATTAAAGGCAGCTAGAAAGGATAGATACCAGCCCTTCTTTATATTTTCAAAAATTGAGGATGACAGACTCCTCTCTAACTCATTCTATGAGGCTGGCATCATTCTGATATCAAAAGCTGCCAAGCACATAACAACAACAACAACAACAACAACAAAAAACTTCAGGCAAATATCCCTGATGACTATAGGTGCAACAACTGTCAGCAAAATACTAGAAAAGCAAATCCAGCAGTATATCCGAAAGCTAATCCACCATGATTAACTGGGTTTTTTTTTTTTTTCCTGCCTCAGGTTTATTTGTACAAATAGCACAGGAGGACCCCAGCCCCATG